CTCAGTCTCCTTAAGAGATAGGATTATCAATTTGTTTTAATGTATGGATTGCCAGGTGGCCATGACATTACTTCATTTTCTACACGTCTGACTTACTCAGTGTCTGCTTGCATCTTCTCTCTACTTTGCCTTTTTTCTCCCTGTATCTCTGCTTTGATTTCCAACCTAGCTATAGTCTGCCATGCCATATCCCAAAGCAGTTTTACTGATATACCATTCAAAGCATCACACATTCACTGCATACAGAAGGACACCCCACATCACCGAAAATGTTCCCAATATATCAAATTATGAGGATTGCCATCAGAAGGTACCAAGCAGATTAAGATCTGTCTTCTTGTTTCATATAATCTCAGTCAAGAAGAATCTTCATTGCAATGCCCAGCAGCTCGATACCTAGTTGATTCTAGATGTAGTCAGGTTGAAAAGCAGGATTAGCCATCACAAGTTTACTCCTTTTCAACTTGTTTCAAAATCACACCTTAGGCCATGTTTAAATCCCAAATGAAAATAATAATCAGGGAACAATACTGTAGCTACATTATATATTTTATAATAGGTGGCAAAGTCCCTGGGAGAATGCTTAGGTTTTTATAGATTCACAACATAAATATGATAATACAGATTTACAACAACTAATCAATCTTGTTGTTTGCTAACAGACCACAGGGATTATACAATGAGATGTCAGTTGGCAAAATCACTAGGCTGACCCACCTTAAATCATCATGCATTTCATTGGCGGAAACCCCACTTACAAAGCCTTGGGCATACCTGCCTTTTGCATAGTCACTGTCATCTCTGTAGAACCTTTATGAAGCCAAAACACTCCCCCTTTCCATAGTGTGACTCATCCCAAATGACTCAAGCAGTGTATTAATCAATTGTTCTACTTTAAGTCATCTTCAGACTTTTATCTATCCACAGCTTACTCTACCCAAGGAGAGGCATTTACACACTTTTTAAATAGATTGACAAAAGTGTGAGATGCTGTAAGCCTTTATCGTTTATTACAGAAGTAGCAATTAATATTATACGTATCAGCTTCAGAAGATTTGTTACTATGAATTTGGCTTGCGTATAGAATATATACAGGGTGCCTTATATTCTCAAAAAGGCCTCAGAGAAAGTAAATTCCTAAAAAGAGAGAGAGAGAGTGTGTGAAAGAGAGATAGGATTATAGCAGGAATGATTGTGCCTGGACACAGGAATTCTTTTTTTCTAGTTTTCTTTTCTTTTTTTTTAATTTATTTTTCAGTTTAAATTTAGATAAGAAACAAGGTTGCTTCACAGGTCAGTTCCAGGTCCCTCTCCCTTTCCCTCCCCTCCTCCTGTGCCCTCCCCCAGCCCCCCCATTATCCCCTCATTCCCCCAGGGAGGGTGAGGCCCTCCATGGGGGTGTCCATAGTCTGTCATTTCATCCAGGGCAGGGCCTAGACCCTCCCCCAAGAGTTCAGGGAAAGAGTGCATCTCACATTGTTCTATGGGAGTCCAAAGTCCTTGTGTATACTCGGGATGAGTACTGATCTGCCCAAGGCTCAATAGATTACCTAGGCCTCAGAGGAATTCTTTCTTAACCTCATTCTCTCTCTTTCTCTCTTTCCCTCCCTCCTTCCTTCCTCTATTTTGTGTGTATGTGTGTGGGATGCATCTGTGTGTTTGGGTAGATCTGACTGAATGTTGGCATACATACACATGTGTGTGCGTGCATGTAGAGGCCTGAGGTTGATGCTGGGACTCATCCTCATTTGCTCTTCCACATTAGTCATTGAGGCACTTGCCATAGGGTGATTCTTAATCACCTCAACTCAGAATTGCTGCATTGTTGTAGACCAGTGTGCACTGCGGGATTTATTTACATGGTTGATAGTGACCCAAGTATTTTGAAAATATGGTGAAACAAGTGAGGAAAGGGTTCATTTTCTTCCTTCCTTCCTTCCTTCCTTCCTTCCTTCCTTCCTTCCTTCCTCTCTCTCTCTTTCTCTCTCTCTTTCTCTCTTTCTGCTGTTCAGTTATCTTCTCCCTTTTTTGTTTTTTCTTCCTTTTGTCATATTTTTTTATTTAACTTTTTACACATGTAACTCTCAGTTCCCTCTCCCTCTCCTCCTCCCCCACCCCACAACCCTCCCAAGCCCTCACCCCCACTCCATTTCCCCTCCGCACCCCAGGGAGGGCAAGGGCTTCCATGAGGGATTTTCAGAGTCTGTCACATCATCCCAGGAAGGGCCTAGGTTCTTCCCCATGTGTCCAGGCTGAAAGAGCATCCCTCCACGTGGTATGGGTTCCCAGAGTCCATCTGTATGCCAGGAATAAATACTGCTCTACTCTCCAGGGTCCCACAGATTGCCAAGGCCTCCTCTCTGTCACCCAGGTTCGGTGGGAGGGTGTCTGGATCAGTCCCATGCTGGACCCTCAGTCATCAGTCTGGGGTCCGTGTGTTCCCCCTTGTTTAGGTCAGCTGCCCCTGTTGTTTTCGCCAGCCTGATCTTGATTCCTTTGGTCATCACTCCTCTTTGCAACTGGGTTCCAGGAGTTCAATTCGGTTCACAGCTGTGGGTGTCTGCCTCTGCCTCCATCAGCCACTGGGGGAGAGTTCTAGGATGGCATATAAGGTAGTCATCATTCTCAATATCATGGGAGGGCATTTAAGTTAACCTTAATGCCAGTTGGTGTCATTCTTGCAGATCTGTGAAGATCTCACTAGTGCCAGATCTCTCCTCCAATTTATACGGGCTCCCTTTTTTGTGGTATCTCCCATCCTTTTCTCCTCTATTCTTACCCTGGCTCAACCCTCCTGCTCTCCCATGTCCTCCTCTCCTCTCCTCTTTTCTCCCATCTCCTTCTGCCCTCCTCTTCTCCCCCCAATCCAATTAGGAGATCTCATCCTATAACCCTTCTCCAGGTTACCATGCATATCTCTTTTAGGGTCCTCCCTGTACCCCAGACTCTCTGGCGGTGGGATTGTGGGCTCGCAGCACCCTGCTCCATGTCTAAAATCAGTGTATGAGTGAGTACATACCATAGTTGTCTTTTTGTGACCGGGTTACCTCACTCAGGATGGTTTCTTTTAGTGCCATCCATTTGCCTGCAAATTTCAAGATTCCATTTTTTTCTGCTGAGTATTACTCCATTGTGTAAATGTACCACATTTTCTGTATCCACTCTTCAGTTGAGGGGCATCTCGGTTCTTCCCAGGTTCTCACTATTACAAATAATGCTGCTATGAACATAGTTGAGCAGATGTCCTTATTGTATGAGGGTACATCTTTTGGGTATATGCCTAGGAGTGGAATTGCTGGATCTTGTGGTAGACTGATTTCCATTTTCCTGGGGAATCTCCATACTGATTTCCAAAGTGGCTGCAAAAGTTGGCATTCCTACCAGCAGTGGAGGAGTGTACCCCTTTCTCCACATCCTTTCCAGCATAAACTGTCATTAGTGTTTTTGATTTTAGCCATTCTGATGGGAGTGAGATGGTATCTCAGAGTTGTTTGAATTGCATTTCCCTAATGGCTAAGGATGTTGGCACATTCTCAGGTGTCTCTTGGCCATTTTGGACTCCTCTGTTGAGAATTCTCTATTTCTGTAGCCCACTTTTTAATGGGATCCTTTGGTGTTCTGGAGACTAGCTTCTTGAGTTCTTTGTAAATTTTGGAGATTAGCCCTCTGTCAGATGTGGGATTTGTGAATATCTTTTCCCATTCTGTGGGCTGTCGTTTTGTCTTGTTGATCATGTCCTTTGCCTTACAGAAGCTAAGAATGTGGTCGATTTTTAGAGAATTTCCGTGTGGTGCTAAGAAGAAGCTATATTCTTTTTTCTGTTTGAGTGGAATGTCCTATAGATGTCTGTTAAACCCAGTTGGATGATAACTTCTGTTATTTCCATTGTTTCTTTGTTAAGTTTCTGTCTGGTGGACCTGTCCAGTGATTAGAGTGGGGTATTGAAGTCTCCCACTATAAGTATGTGGGGTTCATGTGTGATTTGTGTTGTGGTAATGTTTCTTTTATGAACGTGCCTTTATATTTGGGGCATATATGTTCAGAATTGAGACTTCTTCCTGATGGATTTTTCCTATGATGACTATGAAATGACCTTCTTCATCTCTTTTGATTAATTTTAGTTTGAAGTCTATTTTGTTAGATATTAGTATAGCTACACCTGCTTGCTTCTTATGTCCATTTGATTGGAAAGTCTTTTCCCAACCCTTAACCTTGAGGTAGCGTCTGTCTTTGAAATTGAGGTGTGTTTCTTGTATGAAACAGCAGGATGGATTCTGTCTTCGTATCCATTCTGTTAGCCTGTGTCTTTTTATAGGTGAGTTAAGACCTTTGATATTCAGGGATATTAATGACCACTGATTGTTGATTCTTGTTTGCTTTGGATCTGTCCGTGGTGGTGGTTTTGTGTGTGAGATTTTCTCCTATTTCTGATTTCTGGTAAAGTTAGATTATCTATTGCCCATGTTGTTTTGAGTGTAGTTAACTTCCTTGCGAACTTTTAGTGCAAAAAGGAGGATAGAGCTGTAAAAGGGCCTGCAGGGTCTTACTGTGAGACATCATCAACAAGACAGTGTTGAGAGAAAATGTATCTTCTGCACTGAAAATTTCATCTATGTCTAAATTCATGTCTCCTGGGTCCTAAGTACTGACTTTGTTGAAATCTCTGTCACTAGAATTGAATGGTAAATTATTTTGACCTCTTAGTAAAGATCTTATTACTTCTTATTAATACTTTGTTATTTTGGGGATTGTAATTTACATTTCTTCCTTCACTTTCCTCCCTCCAAACACTCCCATATACATCCTCCTCCACTTTCCTTCAAATCCATGCCCTCTTTCTTCATTAATTATTATTGCATGCATTTATAATTTGAACACACACACACACACACACACACGTATCCTTAAAAAACCCTGCTGTGTCCATAAGAAAAGGAAGTAAAAGAAAAGGAATAAACACTACTAACAGTGTCATTCTCCCTGTCCCCTTTGGCTCCTAGATTAAGAAGAAGCAGCAGGATGTGCTTGGTTTCTTAGAAGCCAACAAAATAGGATTTGAAGAAAAAGATATTGCAGCTAATGAAGAGAATCGGAAGTGGATGAGAGAAAATGTACCTGAAGACAGTCGACCAGCCACAGGGTACCCCCTGCCACCTCAGATTTTCAATGAATGCCAGTACCGTGGGGTAAAGAAGCACTTTATATCTTGTTTACTGAAATATATTGCTTCAAATGAAGTTAATACCTTTCACATTTACCTCCCAGCCTGTGTATAGGCATTTCTTCTGCACACAGTCATTTGCCTGTGCAGCCACCCTAAGCAGTTACACAGTATTTTGCCTTCCAGGAACAAAAGTCAAGTGAACAGACAAAACATGTAAATGCATAAGAGCAGACACTGGATGTGCAATTGGCTTTATATGTCCTCAGTTTGATTTCAATCAGACCACGGCCTTATCATTGCCTGTCGTCTGGACTCTCTCATGTCCCTTTCCTGACCACTGGGATGTAGATTGTCTGCTGGACTTCCTTTTATGAACAGTTCTATTCTCTTCTCTGAGTGTTATTTTCTAGATCTATTATTTTTGAGACAACTGAGACTGGCCTCAGATTCCCATGCTGCTGAGGATGAACTTGTACTATGGATCCTCCTGCCCTAGTCTCTGATTGCTGCCATTACAGGGGCTTTCTACCGCACCCTGGCTTGAATAAATGTCCTCAGAAGCACCAGTACAAAGCCTCTACATCGCTGGTTTATATAAGACTGAAGAAGATTCCTCTTCTTAACCTCTTATTGTTAATTAGTGCTATCTAAGGGAAAGGTATAAACCAAAATGGGAAAGTTCACTGGTGGAATTTTTTTCCATCATTAAATTTGTCAGTTCTGTTGTAGATTTCATATATTGTCGAACATAGCACCAATGTGTAAATTATACCTGAAGATAGGTGAAGGCACTTAGGCTATTCTTTTGAAATTTCTACAAATCATTGAATCTTAGCAGCTAGAATGGGCTGCAAATGTCAGTCAGTTTATGACCAGGTTGTATTTACGTATTTAGGATAAACACACACACACACACATACACACACACACACACACACACACACACACAATTAAAATAGAGGCCATGAATTCAAGGGAGTGTGTGTAAGGGGGAAATCGATGTAATATTTTAATTTTTTAAAAATAAAACAGTTTAGAAATGGTCAGTTGTCCAATGTAATCCAATATGTGTTCTTGATTGTTCATTTTTAGAACCATTATTTTTAGTGGCATAGAAGTTGGTACATATTCTTATTTTACCATATGATGTTTTGATACAAGTGTGTGTTATGTCTAAAGCACAAAAATATAAGCACATCTTCTGTCTTCAACCATTTGTCACTTGTGTGTGTGTGTGTGTGTGTGTATGTGTGTGTGTTGAGAACTTTCAAAATCCCCCTAGTTCTTGGAAAACATAAAATATATTAGTGCTCTTTTCTTTTTCAAATGTCTGTTGTTTGGTATTTGGAAACAAAAACAGTATGGATCACAAGAGTCCTTTAGGACAATCCTTGTTCTGAAAGTCTTGCTGTACATAAGAGTGAAATGAGAATTTACATGATAACAAAATATGGTGACATACATTCTTGGTTAATGTCATTGACATTCCAGAGTAGTAAATAAAGTTTCTTTACATTTTTTCCCTAAGAAAATTGCTCCAGAAATGGAAATACTTTGCTTATTGTTGTGTATTTAACACCAAGAACACTGCTTATGCCAGGCATGGAGGCATATCCCTGCAATTCCAGCTCATTTGGGGAGACAAAGTCTGGAAGATAAGAACTTTGAATCCATCCTGGATTACACAGTTAGACTATTTCTCAAAATAAAATAAATGAAAAGAACAGTGTTAGTTTATATAATTGTATGCTTAATAAATATTTTGAAACAATTACATTGATATGGTTTAATTGAAGGAAATGGTATTTTTCTACTTAGATTCATGAATATATTTATTTTTTCTGTGTCTGGAACCAACAAATGACAATATAAGTTGACCCTGAAATACTTGAGACAGGCAAGTCTCATAGCACTAAATTACCAGATTTTTATACAGATTGAAGAATTGCTTTATTACACATGAATCTGAAGACTTATCTAAGTTGTCTTTATCAATTTTTGATAACAAAAACAACCTTCTCTATGGCTTCTACATTTTTTCCTTTTGAGGCAGGATCTCCAAGATCTCACTTTATAGTACAGGGTGACCTAGAGGATGCTATATGCCCCTGTCATATAGAATTTAGAATTTACAATAAGACTTCTGCCTGCCAAATGCTAGGATTACAGGAATGTGTGACAATATCTGGTACACTGGATTCTTTTGAATTATGTTTTGTTAACTTATAGCTGGTGAAATGTAGATACCTTGAGTAACTTACCAGTCTCAGCATAAAATTGTTGTCAGAATCCTGCTAGTTTCACTTTGGAGTAAGGAACTCAAAAGTATATCCAGGAAGTAAGAAAAATACATTGGTACTATTGGTACTAGTCTCTGCTTTTATAAGGTTGATTTGCTCAAATTTCACATGTGAATAAGGACATACATAGTGATATTTATCAGCAGTTAAATGACTAAAAATGGGATGAAATGGAATTTTATCCAGTTATAATGAAAAAGAAAGTCATGATATATGCAAGAAACTAATTGGAACTAGTAATTACTGTTATAATTTCTATTGAAAAGATTTTTTTCAGCCAGGTGAAGTGGCACACACCTTTAATCCCAGTCCTCAGGAGGTAGAGGCAGGTGGATCTCTGTGATTTTGAGGCTAGCCTGGCCTACAGAGCTAGTTCTAGGACAGCCAATTCTAGGGCACCTACACAGAGAAACGTTGTCTCAAATAATATTAATAATAATAAATATTTCATACAATATATTCTGATCATAGTTTCCCCTCCCCCACTCCTTCCAGATCATATTCACCTTCCCTCTCATCTGACTTCGCCTACTTTTCTGACTCCTTAGAAAATAAACAGGAAAATAAGAGACTAAGAGCACTAGAAATGCATACACACACACACACACGCACGCATACACACTCACATACCATGAAAATGCAAAAAAATATAGAAGCAAAAGACTACTACTAAGATAAAAAATGTTCAAAATATTACAATGCAAAGAAAGAAAACCTCCCCAAATATCAAGTTCATTTTGTTTTAGCTATTTGCTGCTAGGCATGAGGCCTGCCCAGAAATGTGGCTTATATATCCAGTGAGACTATATTGGAGAAAATGAGTTTTTCCTATGCAAGTTGTGGTCAGTTGGAGATAGCTTTTGGCTTAAGGATGGGGGCTGTGTCCACTTCCCCTCTCAGCACTAGGACCCAATCTGGTTTAGACCTGTGTAGGCCCTTGTGTATGCTTGTCACAGTCTCTCTGAGTTCATATGAACACTGATTAGTCCCATTTAGAGGGCCTCCATACCCTCTTGCTCTTACAGTCTGCCTCTTCTTCATTATAGATCCTCGAGGCCTGTGGGGAGGGAATTGATGAAGACTCCCATTTAGGACTGAGGGCTCCAAAGTCTCTTAATCTCTGCACATTGTCCAGTTGTGGGTCTCAGTGTTAGGACTGGACATTTTGACTTTAAGCAACATTCCAGAAAGAAAAGTTGAATACTCATGTTCTCTCTCCTATGTGGATGCTGGATTTTAGTGTGTGTGTGTGTGTGTGTGTGTGTGTGTGTGTGTGTGTTGTGTGTGGATACAGGCCATAAACCAGACAATAGACCATGGGGGGGAGAGAAGTTTTAAAGGGCAAGTGTGGAGGGAATAAAAAAAGCAGAAAAGAAGATAGCAGTGTACATGTGACATAAAAGCAGAAGAGAAATAGTGGGAGGAGGAAGGGGGCAAGCAGGTTGGGGAAGGGAGTAGGGGAAGCAAAGCACCAAAAATTACATGTGAAAATCCCATAACGTGAGGCTGGGGGAAATGACTCAGTTAAGTTTTTACTGCATAAGCATGAGAACCTGCGTTCATACCCCCAGTTTCCGTGTTAAGTGCTGGGCAAGACACAGCATGCCTTTAATGTCCCAGGTTCAGTGGTAGAGCACATCTGACAATGGCCTCTTACTGCTACACATAAAACACACATGTGTGCGTGTGCGCGCACACACACACACACACCACACAGATTCCATCATGAAACGTTTTACTTTGTATACTGATTAAATGCTAACATTGTATATAAATTCGTTAATTCAGAAGCCACAACAAGGTATTTGCATTTCAATTTTGCTTAATGTATTCTCTAGGTCTTTCCATGTCACAGATAATGGGGGTTTATTTTAAAGGCTGAATGGTATTTTACTGGGTACACGTGCTGAATTTTCTTTTTTCCTTTATCCATTGAAGAACATGGACTGTTTCCATTTCTTACCTATTGTGACTAGTGATGCAGTAAATACCTGATTGTAGTAATCTCTTTGACATTCTTTTTTTTTTCATTATTCTTTGCTTTTTCACTTTTTTAAACCCAGGGTTCTCTATAGGCCAGGCTGACTTCAAATTCAGGCAATTCTCTTGCCTTTACCATGAGTGCTAGGACTACATGTGTAAGACCTGTATCCATAATGATCTCACTTTCTTTGGACGTATGCCTCAATGGGAGAATGCTGGATCATGGGATAGGTTTTTTTTTTGGTTTTTCAAGACAGGGTTTCTCTGTATTGTTTTCGAGCCTGACCTGGAACTAGCTCTTGTAGACCAGGCTGGCCTCAAACTCACAGAGATCCGCCTGCCTCTGCCTCCTGAGTGCTGGGATTAAAGGCGTGCGCCACCAACGCCCGGCTTTCATGGGATAGTTTTTATTTTCATTTTTTATTTTTGAGATATGGCCTCTCTGTTCAATCCTGGCTGTCCCAGAGCTTGCTATGTAGATCAGGCTGATATAAGACAGTTCTATTTTTAATGTTCTGAGGAACATATATATAATTTTCCATAATGGTTGTACTAATTTACATTCACGTGCAATTCTGTGGAAGGTTTTACTTACTCTACATCTTTCTGAACACTTTTTATATTTTTGTTCTTTTGAAAAACTTAATTTTTGCATGGTTAAAGTTGGTATCTCACCGTGATTTTAATTTAGAATTCCTTAATAATTTATTGTGATGGACATTTTTTTCATAAGCCTAATGGCCTTTTGTAGATATTCATTTTAAGCATGTCTTAGGCAGGTATTTCAGTTCACTTTTAATTGAGTTAACTTGAATTTACATTTATTTTTATTTTTAGCTTTGCTAACTTCCACATTTAAATTCTCACAGTCAGTTTGATGGAACACACACACACACACACACACACACACACACACACACACACACACAGTCCTCCGGTACTTACTTTTATTTCATTTGTATATTTTAATTTTTGTCATTTTTCCTTAAAACATACTTTTATTACTCATCTTTTTGTAAGTTTAATGTTTGAAATTTTAGACTAGTGACTTTTTTTGGTGTGTGGTTTCCTATGAATTTTAACACATGCATTTGTTTCTGTAACTAATGCTACAATGAAAATACAGAACCATTTCTCAAACTCCCATATTTCTTTATAGGTATATGCTCTGCCAACACCAATGCCTGGCAAACACTAATATATCATCATCGCTATAATTTTGTCTTTTTGATAAGGCCATATAAATGGATTCATCCAGTATGTAGTCTTTAGATACTGGCTTCTTTCAGTGAATTGGATGTATTTGAGATCCAGGTTGTTGCCTATGTCATTATACAGATACTTTGTTTAGCCACTGTACATTGGTACAGTTCCATTGCTTCCATATCTGAGCTATTATGACTATAAGTACTTTGAGCATTTATTTTCTGATTTTTGTATGAACACTAATTTTCTGTTCTCAGAGGTGAATGCCAGGAATGTGTTTGCTGCTTAACACAGTGATTGCATTTTAATTTATAAAGGATTTGGAATGTTTCTGGATTGACTATGCCATTTTGCAGTCTTGTTTAAGGATTCCTGATACTCAGCTTTCCCTTCAGCTCTTAGTATTGCCAGAAGTTTTGTATCTGTCCTTTTTGTATGTTGCTGCATGTTTCAGACAGTATTATACACATGACAGACAAATGCTGGAGTCCTGAACTACTTCTTAGCCTTATTGTCAGCCTTTTAAACCAATCCAAAATAGCTTGGTGTCTTGGTATCTTCTGGTCATTTTAATTTGTATTTATGTAATTATCAAAATTATGATATCAACACGTATTTTTGTGCTTATTTGTCATCCTTCTATCCTCTTAAAGTGTTTGTTTAGTCATTTACTCCTATTTAATTTCATTTTATCACTATTACATCTTATGATTTTAATGTATTGTAAATGTGAAATTTGCCACATATACGATTTGCAATTATTTTCTTCCATGTTGTTGTGTAATATTATTTTAACTATGTAAATATGACTGCCTAAGGCACCTGATTGATCTAATAAAAAGCTGACTGTCCAGTAGCTAGGCAGTAGAGGGAGAGGCAGGGCTGGTGGAAGAGAAAATAAGTAGGGGGAGGAATTTAGACTTAATAAGAAGAGTGAATGAGAGGGAGATCCTCCCTGGGACAGCCAGCCAGACATGGAAAAAGCAGGAAAGTAGGACATACAGAATGAAGAAACGGAAATAGCACCAGGTTAAAATCAGTTAAAGGAGCTGGCGGGGCAAGCATAAGATGAGTCTGAGCATTCCTTTGTTAACAATAACTTCCTTGTCATGATCTGGGGGATGGCGGTCCTAGCATAAGATGAGGCTGAGTCTTCCTTTATTAACAATAACTCTCCTTGTCATGATCTGGGGGCTGGCGGTCTTGGAAAGGCTGCTATATGTTGTAATTTATCTTTTTATTCTCTTAGCATTATCTTTCACAAAGAAGACTTTCTTTTGAGAGTATGCAGAATGTGAGAGAACGAAAGGACTCTATGCTTTAAGACAGAATCTCATGTAGCCCTGGCTGGCTCCCCCAAAACCTTATTATGTAGCTGATGACCCTGAACTTCTGATCCTCCTTCTTCTACCTTCCAAATGCATATTACAGTTTGTGACACCATGCCTGACTCTGGATGTTCTGATATTTCTTGAGGTAGGATCTGAACTGTTCAGGTCATCAGTGCCTTTTATGTCCACATCCAAGTGTGGAAAAGTAATGTGTTTGAATGCATCCTTGCAAAGACAATCCGTTGGTGAAGCATTCGTAAGTCCCTTGAGACACACATGTGGCCAGGTCCTTCTCCTGAGGACCTCCAACTGCCAGGTTCCACACGCAGTACACTCTAACTGCCCTAACAGCTGGACCAACACTCTCCAGATACAGGCAGCCAAGCTCAGGACTTGAAATCCCACCAACCCCCCCGCCCTGGAAATCTCCATCCTGGAAAGTTCTGCCCCCCAAAGAAACTCTATTTAAACCCTGCCTTCTGCTCAGTTCTCTGCTGCTTCTCTCCGAGCAGAGGCAGCCACCCTCCTGGATTTTTCCCTTCCAATAAATCTCTTGTGTGAGGTTTGTTGTGCAGTGTGATTTTGAGGAATTCCTTGGCTTCCTACTGTCAGGATACCTTTTTCCCTCAGAGCTGTAAAACCTACAACATTCTCTAGAGATTTCAGCAAATTCAGCTTCAACAAATCAGTCAAAATGTCAGAGTCCCTGTGATGTTTCAAAATCACACTAATCAAGGCAACGTGTAGAAAATAGACATTTAACTGCTTGTTATTGATCACAAGTTACCATTGTAGACAAGTCTACTTGGTACTTTTGGTGAAGGCTTAGTGGCTTAGGGGCCAGCAACGTAAAGCTGAACCAACTTGAGACATGACAAGATTCTTTTGTATCCTCAGAGTTGAGGCTTCTTTTGCTCGTATTTTGAGAACCCTTCACTTTCTTTGAAAAGACAGTATAGTATCACCCGCCTTCCGGCTTTATGCATATGGAGCTAATATTGGTTTTATTTCCGGCTGAGTAAATCATTATTAAAGTCAGTAACAGAAGAGAACTATGTTGAATTAGAATGGGTCTCCCACCAGAAATAAGCTATCTACTATGAGAAATGCTTGCTTTGGGTGGGGGAGAAAGGTGCAAGCAGATGTAAATCCTATGTCATGTGCAAAAAAATCGTTCTGTATTTTCTGCCTAAAAGACCAGTATGCCTTCTAGTATAGATTAAATGGTATCCAAAATCCCTTTCTCCCGTCCTTCACCCCCTCCTCTTTGTGTTTTGTTTGTTGTTGTTTTTAATTGAAAACAGATTTTTTCAAACAATATGGTTATGATTTTCCCTCTCCAAACTCCTCCCATGTTCTCACCATATCCCCACTCACCCAAATCCACACTGTTTCTTCCTGCCTATTGTTAGGAAACAAAGTAGTTTAAAATAATAGCAAAGTAAAATAAAACATGATTAAATAAAAAACAAACAATCCAGAATAGGATAAAATAAATAAATAGAAAAAAGAGGCAAAGAAATAGCACAAGAAGCACATGTAGCTGCAGAGACACACACATTTGCACACACAGAACTCTCATAAAAAGGTGAAACTGGAATCTATCACAAAATGAGCTTACTGGTAATCTTGGAATTTTTTCTTTTTGTCTCATAATACTTTGTCTGGACTTTTCTTTTTCTTTTACTTTCTTTCCCCCCCTGTCCCCAGCTTTACAGGTCTTTTCCTCTTTGGGTTTTTTTTTGAGACAGTGTTTCCCCACTTGTCCCAGTCTGACCTGGAACTAGTAATCCTTCAGTCTCAACTTCTGAAGTTGGTATCACACACGGGTAGTCTCAGAAGCCTGCACGTCTCCTTATTACTCCTTCCAGAGTTTCAGATTATGGAGCTTAGTCCCCAAGAAGACAGCTGATCCTGTCATCCCATGAAGCCATTGTGAACACATATCTTTCCTTTGTTGGGTTGCAGACTGCTAATTCTTCTTGTCTTCTTTTCCCAAAGGACTATGATGCCTTCTTTGAAGCCCGAGAAAATAATGCAGTCTATGCCTTTTTAGGCTTGACAGCACCACCTGGTTCAAAGGTAGGGTTCCTCTAATTGATTCATTGTTTGATTATCTTGTTGCTGCTGAGGTTTTTAATCAGTAAGAGTTCTTCCTGTTAAATATTCATATTAAGTCTAGAACAGTGTCCCTTCTACATATACTTAATCCCTAACAGGGTAGGCAAATGTGCATAGAACATAGAGTGTGTGTGTATACAGCAAGTAGACTATTAAGTGGGACTTCTCTATCAAGCTGCCTAAGGCAGCAGATATGCGGTTATTCATTCTCAAATAAATGATTGTCAACATTAAACTCCATTATTCCAGCTCTTACGCACATTCCAATGGACATCAAGCATCTTAGTTTATGACTGTCTCCTTAGTAGCATTCCTAGCTGTGTGTGAGAGAATATTTCAGAACCAGCTAGAGTGCGATATGAACATTTGGGTTACAAAACTGGTCACTAAATTGCCAGCTAACTTTGGTATTTTGTTTCTTGCCAAGACAAATTAATTTTTCAAGCGACAGTGTTCCCAGGGGAGCCCAAATAAAGAAGGAAAAGCAAAAGCAAAATTGTGTGTTGAATGAAATGCCCCATAGCTGTGGACTTTAAGTAGACCATTGTCTTTTCCATTTGGTCTTTTTCATTCCAGCTCATTTAATCAAAATATGTTACCCCTGTGGCACTAATCTGTGTTCCACTCTCAACAAAAGATTTTATGTTCAGCAATTTATTTAAACTCCAGTTCCTTCTTTAATCTTGAGAACCTATAGTACCATCTACATTTTCACCAGAAAGGGTTTGTAAATATGTTTGTTCTACTTCCTTGCCAAACATTCCTTTCCCATGGATAAATGTGATATTTTAGGCTTTGTAAAAATGGAATCAAGTCAGAAGAAAAATGTTTTTTTATTTAAGTCTTTAAACAAATAATTTAATTATTTAAACAAATAATTGGTGAGACCCAAGTTAAGCCATTGAGTTTAATGCAGATCAGAGGGGGTGCAAAAAAAGGACAATCTACTTCCTCTGGCTGATGACTTCCCCTTCAATTAAAATTAGAGTTCATCCATTCACCAAGTATTTATCAGTTGTCAAACAATAAAGTTAATGGTGGAAAAAAACAAAGTATGACATATTCCTTACATTCTTCTTATAAACTAGTGAGTGTACATGTCCAAAAGATTATATAATAAATGTGTGAATAATTATAATTGAAGCCATAGTATGGTAAATTCTGTACTACTTTCCTGAATAAAGTGCTATAGGAATTCATGAAAATAGTCATGATTTCTTATTGAGGAGATTAGAGACGTTTTCAGTAGAAATGTGTTGGAAATTTCAAAATATTGAAATGACACAAAGTAATTTTTCATAGGGACACGTAGCTGCACATGATGATCTTACACCGTGGGAACAGAATGTAGTACAGTGTGGTTTAAGAATAGGGGATATTAAAGAAAAGGGCACTGTGTTAGGTTGTTTAAGATTGGCTAGGTAGGTTCACACCATGCTAGGTTGTTTAAGATTGGCTAGGTAGGTTCAGACCAGTAATGATTGCTGTATATGGTAGCTTCACCTTTATCTGTTAGGCACTCAGAAGTCACTATGGAAAATCTGGGGAAGTAGATCTGTTATCCTCTGTCTCAAGAGGGATTAAAGGTATGGGCCACCACAACTGGATACCGGTATGATTACTTCAGTATTTTAAGATATTGTTTATTTTAATTTAATCTGCATATCTTCCATTCTTACTTTGAGACAGGATCTTACCACAGTTGCTTTGATCATAGCAATATGGATTACATATCCATATTGCTACACAAAAGTTTATCCTAAGAAACTGAATTTACAGATGGTTGTGAACTACTATGTGGTTGCTGGGAATTGAACTCAGGACCTTTGGAAGTGCAGTCAGTGCTTTTAACCTCTGAGCCATCTCTCCAGCCCTTAAAATGGACCCCAGTCTGACAGGCTCTGAAACCAGCATAGGATGAAACCAGGACCCCCTGAATGTGGGTGTCAGCTAGGAGGCCTGGGCAGTCCATGCAACTTCTGGCAGTGGAACCAGGATGTATTCCTAGTACATGAATGGACTTTGGGAGCTCATTTCCCATTGAGGGATACTCTCTTAGCCTAGACACACAGGGAGGGCCCAGGCCCTGCCCCAAATGACTTGACAGATTCTGATGATTCCCCCCATGGAAGCCTCACCCTCCCTGGGGAGTGGGTGGGGGATGGAATGGGGGGCTGGTGATTGGCATGGGAGAATGGGAGGGAGAGGGAACTAGGATTGATATGTAAAATAAGATTGTTTCTAATTTGAATAAAAAAGAAACTAAATTTAGTAGGAACATACTGTGCACTGTGACCATTAGAAGGATGATATTTTATAACCTGATTTCTATTTTAGGATGTTTTAAGAGTCCATGAAAACAACTGATGGGACCATAAGGTGAAATAGCTTTAACAAAGACAGTGATGGATTTAGAAGGCAGATGAGCAGAGTCACATTATAAGCTTTGACAATTAAGAAGATGCTCGTGCATCTAAGAACTGGAGTGGGTTAAATCACTCCGCTGGCTTTTGCCTGTGATAAAACAAATAATTGACTTAACAGGAATGGAGTTATGAGAAAGCATATACCTTCTGGCGTGATTGACAGCCCAAGGAGAGGATTACAATTAGAAATGACAATATGAAGGAAGGTTGCAAACGTTCGTATTTGAAGGTATTCTTCCTTTAGTGTGAGGTGGGAAGAGAAATTGATTGTGAGCCATGAGGAAAATTGAAATTACCTATGAAACCTGAGAAGAATTTTGGAACATTAGAATTATGAGGGGAAACAGGATTAGTTTTTGAAGATAAGCCAAGAGGTAGGCTGTGACCATGAATGGAAGTGAGAACCCAACTCAGGTCAGAAAGTTTGAGCCCACAGTGGAGTTATTCCGTTTGTTATAATGGCTTTTTCTGTCATTATTTAAACCTGGAAGTAAGAATAAAATACAGTAGCACTGGATATTACGAAGGGTTGGGCAAAAGGGAATTGATATATTGTGTTAACAAAAAGACATCTGGAGTGGACTGATTACAGAGAGATTTTGAATGTTAGCACATTTTCCTAAGACTAGATGTGATAATTTGATATCTGAAGAGTCTTTTTCTATTCTGATCACTTTTTTTTAGTGACTACCACCATGGCATAATCCCTTCAAGAAAGACTTGGATAAACAGAAAGGACATTAGATAAGAAATTCACATAGTAGTGTCTGCAGAAATGGCTCAGCAGTTAACAACACTTGCTGCTTTTCCAGATGACCCGAGTTTGGCTTCCAACACACACTGGCCACTCACAGGTGGATGTTACTCTCGCTCTGCACCTCTGGGGCTGAGGGCAACTTCACTCATGTGCAATCCTCACATGCAGACACACACACTTACACATAGAATTAATAAATGTATCTTAGCAAAAAATAAATTCAGTAGTTAATCCATATGTAAAATCCATAACATGTAGTAAAATGAGATGCAGTTTTCACATGTGAAATTAGTAAAAATAAAACAAAGTAGTAAAACTCTTGCTGGGAAAGTATATTGAAACAGATAGTACTTTTGGCACAGTAAGCCAAAGGAGAACAGCAAATGTTTGCCAAGAGATCCAAAATTGTTACTCTACTCCTTCACCCAGAAATTTCACACTGAGTAATATATAGTCTGATGAATTAATCCTGGATATGGAAACTACTGTATGGATAAAGGCATGGATCAAAATATAATCTGCAATCTCAAACCTCTGGAGAAAAGTTCATTATTTCAAAGAAGTGTCAATTAAGTTAATTTGTTAATGAGCTTTATGGATAATAGATGAGTCATATAATTTAAATATACATTTTGTGTATGCGTCTGTTATCTATAATGTTGGAAACAAATGTCCATCAATAGAGTCAACAAATTATGTTTGTCCATTTAGTGAGCTCGTGCTGACACTTAAAAAATTATCATGGCTTTGTCTTATACAGTCTCATTTCCATAGTTCTGTCCACTCTGGTCTGGAAGTATTAATTAAAAATTCCAGAACAAACAACATATGTGTTTTTGTCAGTCTGAATAGTGTGATGAATCTCTCAGCATCCCAGTCCACTCCATACAGGATCTGAATTGCCCTTTTGCCAAGCTCATCCAGTCTGTATGAATGATCTGCTCAACGGCAGCAGAGAAGGATGGGAGCCACATTCACATACCTTTTATTAGAGTCTATTGTTTTAATGCACTATGGTTAGTTATTTTTTGTTAGTTTCTAACTATGCTTGTTTTATGAGTTCAACTTTTCTATAGGAAAAAATCCAGACGAGCTAGAATGTCTGTGGTTTCACGTGTCCACTGGAAGTTGGAATATCTCCTGTACTGAAAAGAGAGAACTATAGTAGTTTGTGGTAAAATATGTGTAAATGAGTTCTAGATTTGTTTTTACTGTCTAATTCTCTAATTCTATTCAGAACCTATGCACAGGACAAATAAGAGCCTGGAAGGAATCATAGCCAATAGGAATGACTTTCTCTTATTCCTTATTTTCCATATAACTAATAGTGCATACCCTTTATAATTATTGAAAACTAATGAAGTAGAAAACTTGCTACCTAAAAGAACAGCACTGAAAATAGTTCTATAAAGCATGGTTTTGTGGAAGACAAGTAAATATGCTTTATTATCCCTTTATGTGCCTGGAGTGCTTAAGAGGGAAAGGACACTAATTTCTTTTTTAAATCAACTCAGAAAATACTTATTAGCACTGGCAGTAAAGTAGTTTACACTTTGCTGAAAAAATAGATCCGTTGTTATTTGTCTTTAAGGAGAAAATGATTTGGCTAGAAAAGTCTCTTGTAGTAATCTGTTACCACAGTTGAGAGTTATGGTTAGAGAAATGTTTGCCTTAATTTTGTATGAACCATTTTGTGGTGGAAAGTTGCCATGGAATCTGCCTCAGCTGTGGTGTGTGGAACAATCCTGTTTTCTTTGAATATAATCTATCCAAGAGATTACTAAGCAAGATTAATAACAACTAACTGTGGACTTGGTTCTAGTCAAAAAAGGCGAGGGGAAAAAGAAGAAAGAATTGATGCCTGGAATGGGTCATGGACTGAGCCACACACTCTGTATTTCTCTCTTTTCATCCTGATATCACCTTCATGAACTAAGCGTCTGTAGAGAATTCTACTGAGAAAATACTTAAATAACTTACTTCGTCCAAGATTACATAATTGAGTGGCACAGCTGGGATTTGAACACTGAGTTACTTAACTCAAAACCTGTGCAGGTTTTAATTAAGATTATTATTGCTGCTGTTGTTGTTGTTGTTGTTGTTGTTGGTGGTGGTGGTGGTGGTGGTGGTGTGTGTGTGTGTGTGTGTGTGTGTGTGTGTGTGTGTGTGTCCATAATGTTTGTGTGCATGGGCATCCATGTGTTTATAGATGCCTGAAGACAACTATTGCTACTTAAATGGATCTTGTTTTATTTCAATATTCAGTGTGTGCGTGCCTGCGTGTGTGTGTGTGTGTGTGTGTGTGTGTGTGTGTGTGTGATGAGAAGGAGCATTAGTGCCACAGTGCACATGTGTAGGTAAGAGGACTGAGTTCCAGGATTTGAGCTCAGATCATCAGGCTTGCATCAGGGACAGCATGCATCTTTGCCTGTTAAGTTGTCTCACTGGTCCTACATTATATTTTATTCCTATAATTAAATACAAACCCACACTGCAGACCAACTGGCTTCAGACTCAGAGAGCTCCACCTGCCTCTGCCTCTTGAATGCTGGAATTGAAGGTGTGTGCTACCGTGTCTGGTAATATGATGCATTCTAATGGACACTTACTTTGAATGTAGAATACCCTTTTGCTTTAGATGCCCATATCAGCAATTTCTTTCATTAGGAAAGAGAGAGTGTGACTATCGGGAGCTAGGCTATCTCCCATGTACTGCTTACTTCAAAGTGGTATGTACTTATGTGAAGAAACACTTGCCAAGCATATACACGATGTTATCTAATTGCTTCCCCAATTGCATATGCTAGTTGTTATTCATCGTTTTTATTTTTAAAGTAGTTTGATAATTTCATACACATATGTAATGTGTTTTGATCATATTTACCCCATTAACTGTCTCCCGCTCCCCAAACCTCTGCTTTCTATACAATCTCACTTTTAGTTTTATGCTTTTGTGTGTGATCCATTGAATTTAAAAATGGCTTTCCAATATGAGCATAGTTTGGGAGGCATTTACCAGAGCATAAACACCATTTAAGAAAATTTACTTTCCCCCACCATCAGTAGCTGTTAACTGCAACCATTAACAGTTAACTGCCAATCTTCTAAAGGATGGGCGGTGCCTCACAAGCCCCTCCCTTAATTCAGTGAGGGAATGTTGTCAGAGCCCTGTCTAATATAGGTAACCAACCTGTGAGTTCATGAGATGAGTGCAAAAGTCATGTTGTGCCTAAAATACATTCTATAACACCCCCATCCTATGGCTCTTTTTCTCCACTGTCTTTTTCAAAGTGTTTTTTCAGACTTCGGGGTGGTGGCACAGATGTCTCATTGATGACTGAGTCCTTTTACCAGTTACTAACTGCAGCTCACTGCAAAAAGAAGCTTCTCTGACCAAGTCTGTAAGCAACACCAACTACATGCTGATAAACACAATTAGCAGGCAGTTTGTTGAACACAACTTAAACATTTAACAAAACAATAGAAGGCTCCTTCTAGTACCTGCGACTTCCTCACTCAGGGACTTCTTACCAGGATCATAGAACCATACATGAATTTCCTCTTGTGGAGCAGGCTTCAAATCCAATCAGAAAACTGTCGCTAACCCCCATAAAAGGCACGCCATCATTTTCTCAGTGGTCCCATCTTGCCTGGTGAGTTGGTTGTGTGGTATACAGAATCCACAGCTGAGTCAGAATTCGATGCCTGTTCTCTCCCTGCAACCTGCATAGCACTTTCTGGCGTGATGACATCCTCTCTTTCCCTCTGGAAATAAGTACTGTGCCTTTGAATAATCCTAGTAATTGCTAATTTATTTTAGCCGAGATGAATAGGAGTGTTTGCCTTGTGATATTTTAAACGTATGTTGTGTTTGTTTTGTTTTCCAGGAAGCAGAAGCCCAGGCAAAGCAGCAAGCTTGAGTGTCATGCGTTCTTCCTTCAGCATCTTGAAAATAAGGAATCTCCATTGCTTTGATAAAAAACCTTGGCTCCAAAAGAAATAGGCGAAACTGTTGAAATAATAGATTAGCTGATGTTCTCGCATGCAAACAAGCATAACTGAAATGTGAACATGGTAGTGAAAAAATGAGAGATGAAGTTTAAACTTTAAGTAGATATCATAGAATAGTATTGTTATCTGCCAAGATATTTTATGGTCTCTAAGGATTTTACAAAAAAAACCCCATATGCTTCTTTTTTGATATTACTGTGTAGCTTAAGGATATCTTCATTTCAACATCGAGGAATTAAACGAGGAGAAAGAGAGAGAAGGAAACTCTTATTCCAAATTAGCCTCATTAATATTCGTGAATATTTTGATGTGATGTTGCTGAAATGTATTTGCAGGTTATGTTTACGATGTGTTAGACATTGTAATTTCCTACAGTGATTGTGACATTCTCATTCTTCCATAGAAGCAATGTATATGCCCCGAACCACAAGTTTTCCTGGCTTCTAAATGTAACCTTTCATTGCACATTCAGTGATCAAAATAGTTGACTTCCCACAAGAGAAGCATCGATTGCATTCCACTGGCAAACTCCTTGTTTACTTACACAGTTATAACATAATTATGTTTCTAAGTTGCTTGCCTCAGTAAAAACATGGGATTGTAAGTCATGGAAAGAAGATTGCAATTAATTTTGAATTGGGCCTTCTTGCAAAGAGCTCAGTCTTTTAATTAACCGTTATATAATATCTTGATCCTCGTCGCTCAGCATTTTCTTTCCTTTGGTGTTTGCTAAAAGAAATCTCAGTGGCTGCCTTCTCCTGCTTTAATATAGCTGGTGGTCATGAATGCTGAACTTTTTGTTCCAGTTTAGGCACATGTGTCAAAGCATCAGTCCAAGTAGAAAGAATCACTGGCATGCTTTCATTTTGTCAGAAAGCACAAGTATCAACGAAAAGGAACACCATTTGAAATACTTTGAAGATAAACATGACCCAAATCACTCACCCAGAAGGTATTGATATGGTACCTTTGTACAATCGCCCTTTATACTGTATTATATCTGCTGTTTGCTAAACTGTACTCTGCAAAAATTCATCATATAGTGAAGTCATAGCTTTGTTTACTGAAATTCAAGCTTGATTTGATGCTTTAAAATAAATGTTTTTAGAAATTATGTGTTTCTGGCTTCTAAATAATGTACAGTAATTTTGATGCATAATTATCTTTTATAGTTGGTTAGAAAGGAGAAAACCAAACCAAACAAAATAAATAAGCAAAAACAATTTGAAGGCAATTTCTCAGTTTTTTAGTGACTTGAATTTTGGACTATTTATTGGAGTCAAAAGTATTCCATTTTTTCTTTTTACAAAAAATATTTTCCAGTAAACTCTGTGGGAAACAGAGTGCTTTTAGCGGATTCTGGAGTGAGCAAAATAATTTTAGCTATTATTTTTCCTTAACATTGCTAAGTGCAGCAGGTGACATTGTATGTGGACAATTTAACTTTTGTTTCGTATTAAATAATACTGTTTTAGACAGGTGTTTTTAAAAAATAGATGCATTGGGTGATATTTATATCCATGGGATAGTACCCTGAAATCAACTTAAATAAAAGTTTGGATCGCGTCTTCTCCAATTAGAGCCTTCCGTTTTGTCAACCGAGAAACATGCTTGAGAGATGAAAGAAAAGGAAATAAAATCCTGAGGATTAAGATGAGTTTTGAAAGAAACTCCACAGTAAACGCCTGGGAAATAAAATTCTTGATGCTTTTTATATTATGTTTGGCATATTTGTGTTTATAAATCCAGACTTGGTGATTTGGTAATTTCATATTTTGGAGCTCATTTGCTTTTTAGAATTTTTGTTCTTCAGAACGTTCCATTTTCAGAAAACACTATAAATTGTTAATTGTATTGATAAATGTAAATACTTCTCTGAGAACCTGAGCATAGGTGAATAGAGAATTTTGAAACAAAGATGGTTTTGATTGGAAAAGACTAAGTAAATACAGGGAGGTAGGTGAAATCAGATTTCTTTCATTATGTAAAGGAGAAAATGAAGAATTCACATGGATTTTGTTAACCACTTGTTGGTGTTTAAAATATACAGAGTTCATCATAAATCCTTGTCTATGTAACACAGATCTTTTCTTCTGATGAATTCCAATAAAAACAATTAAGTGATTCATGCTTGATTAATTTGAATCTTCTGGTCTTCTGTCCCCCTTCCACAATTCCTGTTTCTGAATATTACTAGTCATCCCGTTGTAACTAGGTTTTGAATTTCTATATAAAGAGTAACCATTCTTGGGGTTGGGGAGGTGACTCAGTGTTTTAAAACACTTAGGGCTCTTCCAGAGAAACCATGTTCTGTTTCCAACACACACAACTGTCAATAACTCCAGTTCCAGGGTTTCTGATACACTCTTCTAGTCTCTGCTGGCACCAGGCATGCACATAGTACACCAATAAACATTCATGTGCATAAGATAAGAATATTTTTGAAAGAGTAACCATTCTGTTAATGTAGTTATTATTTTCTTATGCTTGTTTTTCAACATGTTCATTGAGATATCTTTATATATATATCATTTTTGTATTTTACATACTAACCACAGTTTCTCCTCCTTCCTCTCCTCCTGTTCCCTCCAAGTACCTCCTCCCTTCTGCCCTTCACCTTATCCACTCCTCCTCCGTCTCCATTCAGATGGGGTAAGACCTCCCATAGGAATCAACAAAGCATGGCATATCAAGTTCAGACAGGACCAAGCTCCTTCCCTCTGCATCAAGGCTGAACAAGGCATCCCACCTTAGGGAATAGATTCCAAAAGGCCAGCTCATGCATCAGGGACAGGTCCTGGTCGCACTGCCAGGGACACCACAAAAGAAGAAGTTACACAACTGTCACCAAGATGCAGAGTCCTAAGTCAGTCCCATGCTGGCTCCCTAGCTGTCCATTAAGAGTCCATGATCTACCACAAGCTCAGGTCAGCAGTCTCTGTGGGTTTCCCCGTCATGATCTTGCCCCCCTTGCTCATATAATCCCTCCTCCCTTTCTTCAACGTGACTCCAGAGTTTGTTCCAGTGCTTGACTGTGGATCTCTGCATCTGCTTCCATCAGGTACTGGATGAAGGATCTATGACGACAATTAGGGTAGCCACCAATCTGATTATAGGGGAAGACCAGTTCAGGCACCTTCTCCAACTGTTGTGAGGAGTCATAGCTGGGGTCATCCTTGTGGGCACCTAGGAGTTTGCCTGGCACTGGGTTTCTCCCTAACACCATAATGGCCCTCTCTATCATGATATCTCTTTTAATTCTCTCCCCATTTATTCCACTCCCAACCATCCTGACCCTTCATGTTCCCATCCCCTTATTGCCTCCCCTCTATACTCTTCCCTGGCCCCAGTTTACCCAGGACATCCCATCTACTTCCTATTCCCAGGGAGATCCTTGGGTTCTCCTGGTTACCTAGCTTCTCTGGGGCTGAGGATTGTACCTTGGTTATCCTTTGCTTTACACAATGGAATATTACTAAGCAGAATAAAAACCCCAATGATATCATGAAATTTGCAGGCAAATAGATACAACTAGAAAAGTATCATCCTGAATGAGCTAACCCAGACCCAGAAAGACAAACACAGTATGTACTCACTCCTAAGTGGTCATTGAAATATTTTGTACCTTAAAATTCACCCATTTAAAAATATAAAGTTCCAAGAGTTTTGCACAGTCATCAACATAGCGTGAAACATTACAGTATCCAACATCCTTACCTGTTCTTGCTCCCTCAGCTATACACAACCAGTAATCAAATTTGATCTTAATGGTCTTAATAGTTCTGTAATTGTCACATAAATGGAATTAGAAAGTTTTTGATTTTTGGTTAATTGGTACTTTTGGTTACCATGCTTTTGAATTTCATCTATGCCACATCTTGTAGTAAGTCATTGGAGAATACAGCACCTATTATATCATCAAATAATATTTCATTGTATAGATAGAATCACATTTTTCCATTTACATATGTCCACCTTTGTTTATCATGCATAATTCTACTATAAATGCCAATGTAATTTTATGTTTGACCACCTGTTTTCAATTCTTTTTCATGTATGTGCATATGTGGTTAATGTGGTAGTTCTGTTTAACAATTCAAGTAACCACAAAATATTTTCAAATTGTCTTGACTATTTTACATTCCCACTAGTAGTGTATGAATTTGGTAAATTTTCTAATGCTGGGAAATGTTTGCTATTTTTATCTTTCCTTTTAGTAGTCATTGTAGGTGATATTACATGGCATCTCATTAGAGTTGTGGTTTACATTTCTTTGGTGGCTAAATATGCGGACGATCTTTTTATGCAGTTATGGCTGTTTGTGTATTTTTTTGGAAAAATGACTTTTCCAGTCCTCTGTTTAGTTTTGAAGTCGTTATTCTTGGATTATAATATTTCCTTCTATAGTAGAATCATTTGTGTATTATTGGAGACATCATCTGAAATGTTATTTTCCATTCCATTGGTTTTTAATTTTTGTTTTCTCTGAGCCACCCTTACCCCCGCACATCCCACAGGCAGGATAGACTGTATGTTGATGGCTATATGGCTGACTTGGTGTCCTAATTCCTCTATTGGAAGTCTTGCCTTATCACAGGAGATGCCAGGTTATTCTACATATCTCCTATTGCTAGGAGCCTTTGCTGGGGTCATCTTTGTGGGTTCTTGGGAGTTTTTCTTGTACCAGGTTCTTCTTTTTCCAAAACCCTAGCTCTGAAGCAGTCAGTAGGTAATGGTTTTAAAACCTGATTCATTAAAACTTTTCAAGAATTATTATGGGTAAGGCTAGTGCTGAAGACATATAGTAGAGTTTGTTTTGTTTCAAAACACCATGCAAATGTCTCCTGAGTTACTCTATTTGAGTAACAAAGAATTAGCCAAGAAACTGGTAATTTCACATATTAGGTAGGTTTAAAATGATTTTTTGTTGGGATAATCTTTTTGTACACTGTGGAAAGATGGCTCTGTTTTACCTCACCTGCCTAAGGTACCTTCTGATTGATTTAATAAAGAACTGAATGGCTAATAGCTAGACAGGAAGAGAATAGCAGGACTTTGTGGCAGAGATAAGAACTCTGGGAAGGAATCTGAGGTGGAGGATTAGCCAGCCAAGTGTGGAGAAAGTTGGGCAGATGATACTGCCATGAGGTAATGAGTCTTGTGGCAGAAAGCTGATTCATATAAAGGGGATAATTTAAATTTTAAGAGCTAGTTGGAAGCAAGCCTAAGCTAATGTCAAGCTTTCAAAATTAATAAAGTCTCAGTGGGTGGTACAAATACCTGCTACATATTTTTATGTTTGTTTGTGTATTGCTACATATGTGGGTATGCTAGAGGCAGACAGAAGAGCAGATCTCCAGGAGCTGGAATTACAGTAGGCTGTGTTGCTGGGAACCAAATTCAGGTCCTTTGCAAATACAGCAAGTGCCTTTAACTTTTGAGCCATTTACGAAGCCTGCATATTCAGTATTTTGAGCATTTTCCCTCTTAGATATCACTGCTTTCTTCTAACTCAAAGGCCGATAAATTGATGTTTGGATCACACCATAAAATTAAACCAATTGATTGTAGAAATGCATGGTTAGATAGTTAAGTTAGATAGATGGGCAGGTAGGTAGAGCTATCTAGCTAGATAAATGGTGTAATATACATTTGCTACTGATTTATTTCTAATTGACTTGTTAGCCTTAATACTGGTTCATTATTTCAGGTATAGGCTACTGAAATATGGAAATGTTGTACAAATAAGTTATGATTATTGAGATACATCACATCTTTTCATTTGTTTCTATTATAGTAAATTTGTTTTGTACAGATGATCTGTTATAGTATTGCCATTTTCAGAACTGTTTTTACAATGTAGTTTAAATTTAGAGTGATAGCTCCTTCATTGAAGGAAAACAGAACAAGTCACATCTAAACTATGTAGCTAGTTACTCCCATCTACATTCCCTAAGGATATAGAGGAGTTGTAAATTAAATACGAACTATTTTCTACAACCCATTTGAGAATCCTAAACTTATTGTGTTACAATCTCCAGTAAAGTGTCCATTTTACATTTTATGGCTTTAAGTATGTCTAAATGAGTAGAATTAGTGAATCCATCAATTTATATATTAAATATTTTATTAGATATATATGAATTTAAATACACATCTTCCCTACATGTACTTGGCTTGCAATTGTTTAATTTCTAATTTATTTTATTGGCATATGCTCGTTGTACATTGCAATGGCTTTCATATAAGTATATCGTGTATTTGATCGTGCTTGCTCCCTCTAACTATTCCCCTTTTCCTTCTTCCCCTCCATGCTAGTTCCTTCCTTTCCCCAGTTTCACTTCTACTTTTTTACTTTCATGATGCATATCCTATAAATAATTTTGTCTACACAAATTTCAGAATTTCCAATGAAAGAAAACAAACATGTAATATTTGCCTTTCTGAGTCTCACTTATTTTGCTGAGTGGGATCATTTTCAATTGCACCCATATTCCTGAGATGACATTGTTTATTTACTACTGACATTTTCTATATGCGTTCATCTTTGACTAGCTGTTATTGTGAACAGTGCTGCAACTAAACTCAGATATGCGATATCTCTGGGTGTATTGACTTAGAGCCTTTCTTTGTTTGTAGGAAGATTTTTTAGTTTATTTTAAAATTATGTGTATGTGCTTGTGAATACAGTACTCACAGAGCATGTGCATATGCAAGTATATACAGTGGTTAGATCTGGGTAGGCATCCAAATGTACTAAATTATTTCACTATGGCAATTACTTGAGAACTCATTTCAATACAGTATCTATATCAGAAGGCAATGCACTGTGTAGTAGTACACAATGGCATCTTATTTTTGCTGAAATATGTTATACCAGTTAGTTAACATCTCCCCATTCTTTACACTTCCCAATCTCTAGTTCTGTTCTCTTGATTTCAGTTGTGCTAACTTTTTAATCATTGCATCTTTTGAAAAATATTTTTCAGATTATAATATAATAACATCGTTTCTGTCTTCCTCTGCCCCTAGAAAATTTCCTATATACCCCTCCTCTCTCTCTTTCAAATCCATGGCCTTTTTTCCCACTAGTATTACTGCATACATATGTATAACCAACAGCT